TGTAATGAGTACAGAACATTAAACTGATGAAATGAGCCTACAGCTGGTCTGTTGATACTTGGCATCACTGCAGCTCCAGAGCTGGCCTTTGATATTTCAGTCTAAAGGCTAAACTACTACAAGTCACCAAGGTGCCCTGAGGCCCCACAGATGTGCAGAAACTGCTCTCCTGCCAGCAGGGTTCCCAGTGACAGATGTCATCAACTACTTGCTGTGGCAGGTAACTTCCTCTGCTGGAAGAGAGAAGCCATGCAACTGAACGAGGCACATTTGAGGCTTGCTGGTTTACATACCTTGTCTCACAGGACACATTTCTGTGTCAACCTGTTCACCAGTGAGCTCCAGCATGTTTGAGCTTTCCCTTGTGCCTTCCCCTTCATATTGGCACAGTTGCTTGCACAGAGTGGTGGTCACCTCCAGCAGCCAAAAGGGAGAGCTGGGAGGCCATGCTGGTGCTGGCCTCTGCCTCCTCGTTCAGCTTCAGCATGACCATGTCATGCTAAGGGACACTGACATTCAAAAGGAAAGTGGGGAGGAAAGGCTTGTTTACTTTTCTGCTTTTATAAGAGCTTTTAAATGTCTTGCTTTTGTCCGTGCTGGCTTGCTCTCCCGTCTCATCAGAACTGACTCTATTATGCTATTGGGGCTGCAAATACCTCATGGAAAATATTTTGTTGCATGCTTTAATTTCCTGAATAAAACCAGATGCAGTTCCATTGATTCTTATACAGAATTTTCCTCCAGGAGTTTTGTGAGCATCAGTGAATTGTCATTAAATCTGAATGAGACCTTGAATAAAAACAATGGTAAAAGCTTGCTATAATGCTTAGGCCAAACACACTTGGCTGGAAAACACTCAAAAAGCTTCTTTTTGTCCCAATGATGCTTTGCAGTTTGAACACATTCATGAACAGGCTGAGCTGCCTATTAAATTTTATATGGATTGTCTTGCAGCAGAGGGCAAAGAAAATTACCTTAGATGAGCTGTTAATGTGCAATGTCCTCTTTACAAGTGTGAGGCTGATCAGTTTCCAGTTTTAATACAGATTTACAGCAGTGTGAGGCTGCTCACTTTCCAGCTGTCCACAGACTTACAGAGCACACAGAGTATCTGTTGGCACGAGCCTTACGGATCACATCTGTCAGCAGTGGTCTTACCCTCCAATTTGCAGTCCCATCTGAAGAGTCTCAAGTATCAGCAATCCAAACTGAAAAGGCAGTTCAGCTGTTTCAGCTGAGAGGCCAGGGAGGAAGGAATACTGTCATTGAAAGGTGATTGGAAACTGACACAGAAGAGTACAAACCCGAACATTAATAACATGGTTTGGCTCCATTTCTTAAAAAACCCTAACAATAAAAGCCTGTCAAGATGACAAGTCCTTAGTGAGTAGAGATGCAGCCAAATAGGAAATGTGTTGATTCTACATTACATGCACTTTGTTGGGCCACTGCAAGAGGCAACAGACTGGCAATGAACAGGGTGCACAGCCATGCAGAGCCAGCCCAGCAGTGCTAATCGTGCCCAGAGTGTATCCCCAGTGCTTCTAGCCTATTCTCTATCACATAGCTAATAGGTTTCACCAACAGAAATAAATGTAGGAAACTGGAAGATGAAAAGAATCTGACTTGCCTAAGTCTGTTAAAGCAAGGATTACCTGTCAAGTCCAGTGATCAGTTCAGAAACTTTCCCAATAACACAGACCAATCAATCTTTCCGAATCCCAGAAAAAAGTAATGTGTCTAAATAATAATTACAGGTGACTGTTGGGAAATCCTGTTCTGTGAAGCTCTGCAGGGCTTAGCCACAGACTGTCTGGGACAGAGCTTTCCTCTCTCACACAGTCTACATCCAGGCCCATGAACACACTTGATGTCATCTCTCTGATGCATTCCCTTGGAGCTAAATCCTGCATTTCTAATTTGGAAAAGGATAGGCAGCTTTCTTACTAAAATTGCACCCACCCAGCAGGGAGCAGTTACAGAACAGAGCCTTGCCTTGCAGCTGTAAGCCCTTAAGGAAAAAACAACTCCACTGCAACACATGCTCCCATGAATACAGGTGATGCTGTGGGGAAAAAAATAATAATTCTTCCTATCAAATCCTTAGTATCCCAAAGATTTATCTTCCAGGGATCCCTGAATGAACACAGTGAGCTAGAACTATTTGGTTCTTTCCCTGGAGTGCAAAAGATTACAGTTCTCCAGGTAAGAATTGTAGGCAAGCTAAATCTATTATTTCCTTTTTTTACTTCTCAAAGAGAAAAAAAAAACAAAAACCTACACTACTTTGGGGAGAACCATTTGCAGATACCCTAGGCTGGCTCAACCAAGAGAGAGTTACACCAGTCAGTACTCCAGCTCTATCACCCAAGCCTGGGTACAGGCAAATTTGCCAGCCCAGAGGCAGAATTTAATTTTCAGACTCAATGACTGGACAATTTGGTTCATGAGATCCAACCCAATTCCTGCACACAGTGCTGTGACTCATCTGCAGGCTCAGAACTCACAGCTGAGTCCCCTTGGGTGATACAGACATGAAATCATGGTAAAAAAAGGGCTGTGAGAAAACACATCTGGAGGTCATCCAATCCATCTCACTCCCCTAAGTGGGTTTCCTTTTTCAAACTCAGAGAGAAGTGCCTCTGGCACAGCAGATAATTGAACTGGTGTTTCTCAAAGCTTCCTGATAATCACACTGATCACAGGGCCAGCCTTCCTCACAGAATGCAGTCTGACACTTAATCCCTGATAATTTCACTTTTGAGACCTTGACCTTGAAGAAAGAGGAAGGAAGGAGGGAAAGAAGAAGGGAAGAAGGGAAGAAAGGAAGGAGGAGAGGAAGGAATGGAGGGAAGAATAAAAGATCAATCCAAATAAAGCATTTTACTAAGCATTTCTGTTAGGTTCAGCTGTTTCAAATTTGATATTAAACAAACAGCATTTCAATTTTGATATTAAATCAAACCTGTCATTATTTCTTCATAATTATAAGACTCCCAGAGTGAGGAAATGGCAGCAATAGGAGGTGGACTGGAGAACAAATTCAGTGGGATGCCAGCTGTGCTTACTGGCTGGCAGCATCTTTGTTCTGAGTATGTGAGTCACAGGTAAATGCTCTCTTGCCACACACTCCTGTGAGAGCTGGCAGTGACAGTTATCTCCTCTCCCCACCCTACACCCTCCCATCCTTTGCATCTCTCCACCTACCTGTCTGACAAAGTTACTCCGTACAATTAAGTCATTAACCCAGGCGTGGTGGTTTGTCCTTGGCTGGATGCCCAGTGCCCACCAAAGCCACTCTATCACCCCCTTCCTCAACTAGACAGGGAAGAGAAAACGTAACAAAAGGCTCATGAGTTAAGCATAGGGACAGATCACTCACATTACCATCATGGGCAGAACAGCCTTGACTCAGAGAAATTAACTGAATTTATTACCAGTCAAAATCAGAGCAGGATAATGAAAAAACAAATCCTAAAAGCACCTTCCCCCACCCCTCCCTGCTACCTGGACTTAACTTAATTCGTGATTCACAATTACATCTGTGCAATAACTTTTGTTTTTTCTTCTTAGCCCTGCTATCCCAGAGGTGCTCCCACCATCACTGATGGGCTTGGCCTTGGCCAGTGGCAGGTCCATTGTGGAGCCAGTTGCTTCAGGCTCTGTTGGAGATGGGGGAAGTTTCTAACAACTTGCCAAAGAAACCACCCCTGTAGACTCTCACTACCAGAACCTTGCCACAGAAACCCAATACCCTAGGCATGGACCAACCTGATTTTATTTTAGTCTTGTAAAGTAATTTCTTTAGAAAGGCTCTGAAAAAATATGTATCCCTCTCCTCCAGTGAGATATGGCATTTCAGAAGTATTACTGCTTAGAAAAATTCTGCTTACCTCTTAGAAAAAGTTAGCTTTATTGGTTTGGGAGCAGGACAAGCAGGCAGATTATAAGAGGTCAGTGATGCAAGGACAAGTATATCCTGTGAACAATCCCCATTTCCTTTAGGCATACTTCCTCAGATTGTAACACAGTGTTGTTTTTTTCACAGTATCTTCTTTCTGTTTATCCTTTCACAACCTCCATGCTTACTGCTAATGTTAATAAATGCCCACACTTAGTACTGCAGCATGTTATGTGTTATGCAGAGTGCCATTACTTTCCTGGCACTGGTGACAAAACTGACCTACCTTGATTCATCTAGAGACTGAAGCACAGTCAAGAGAATGTGACTGTGGTTTCCCAGCTCTTGAACCCCGACCTCTAACCACTACCCCATGCTTTCTCCCACTGGGGTGCTATTGTTTAACCCACTAGCAAACCCTTCATTTGGGAAATCAAAAATTAATATTACACCATCCTTCCCTTCACTTTCTGTTCTTAGCGTGTAGTATGGAATCTGTTCCTCTACAAGAGTAATCCCTGTTCCCTGCCAGGCTTGTGAAGCCCAGTGGAAGAAGCATTTATATGTTTGCATTTCTCACTGTGCAATATTCTGCTTACGAACCAACGGAGATGGAAATGAGGATGGGGACGTGACAGAGGCAGTGATGAGGAAAGACCATAGATTAGTGATGCGCTGGATCCAGATGTGCTGGAAGCCACACAAGGCAAAGAGAAGACGTTCTCTCTCAGAAAGAGGACTTATTTAAATCCCTTAAAAAGTGAAAGACACGATTTGCAAAGGTAAGGGTCATCGCTATCATAGTGCCATGATAAACCTCCCGTTCCCGCTGGCTGAAAGCAGCGCGTTTACAGCACAATTCCAAAGAAGAGTTTTGCACAGCGAGTAGAAAACGCTCCGACTGGAGCGGCAGGGGCAGTGCCACACACCGAGGGCTTCCCTGTCCGTGTGCCTATCCCTGTCCGTGTGCCTGTCCCGGCCCGTGTCCCAGTCCCCGTCCCTGTCCCGGTCCGTGTCCCTATCCCTGTCCGTGTGCCTGTCCGGTCCGTGTCCCAGTCCCCGTGCCTGTCCCGGCCCGTGTCCCCGGCCCCGCCCCGGTGACGGGCGGGTGATGGCGGCGGGCGGAGCGCGGCCGCGCTGACGGCGCCAAGATGGCGGCGCTGGGGGACGGGGACTTCGCGGCGCTGCAGATCCTGCTGAAGGTGAGCGGGGCCGGGCCGCGGGGGCCGGGGCCGCCGTCGCTGCCGGGCCGCGGCTGAGCGCCCCCGCTTTGCTCCCCGCCAGGCGCCGTCGAAGGACGCCGTGCGGCAGCTGTGCCAGGAGTGCTTCTCCAGCCCGCCCGCCGCGCTCGGCTCGCTGGCGCAGCGCGCCGGCCCCGGGCTCGCCGTCAGCGCCGAGGAAGCGGAGCAGGTAGGGCCCCGGCGGGAGGGAACGAGCGGGACTGTGCCGGTGCCAGCACGGGGGTGGCCCAGGCCCTGGGGAAGGTGCGCGGTAACAGCGGCCCTCGCCCGCGGCAGAAGGGAACGGGCTGAGGCTGCGAACCGGGACGCTGAGGAGCTCAGCCCCATCCTGCTCAGGCTGTCGGCCGTACTTGGATGCCCAAGGCCCTGGTGGTGTGGTCCCGCAGCATAAGCTGTGTCTCCTGGCTAAGAAGGCCCGTCCTGTGCTGTATGTAATGCTTTTCAACCCAGCCCTGCTCTTGCCTCCTGACAGCTGGTGTCTGCTTTGCGCAACCTCACCAGGCACGTGGTGTACCGCGGCTTGACCAGGGCAGAAGACATCCTCTGTCTCTTCCCAGAAAACTTCCACCAAAACCTGAAAAATCTCTTGACTAAGATTATCTTGGAGAATATGTAAGTGCTATCCACCTGCCATCTGCTTTCAGATGGAGAATTAAGGCTTGTGTGTGTGGTTGATGCATGGATAGTTGGCAACACGAGTCTTGTTTCTGTAAATTTTGTGTGCCTAGGGCATAATCAAACAGGCTGGAGTGAGCAGAGTTGAACAGAATATGTCATCTGAGTGGAATGGCCAACAAAACACAGCCATGGGCACACAGAGTTTTCCCATGACTTTTGAAACTGACATGGGCCACATACCCAACATGCAAAGCCCCTTTTATCTTAACAGCTGTGTGGTGAAAAAATGTTACTGTTGATGATAAAACTTAGAAGGCTGGATTTCAGCTCTAGAAGATCTAGGTGGTATCCACATATCCATCCACTTGTCACCACGGCTCAGGTGCAGAGGCACTGTATGTAATAGAGCATACATGAGGTGGTGGCAGAGGAGGGCACTTCTGCTTGTACATCTCAATGCTTGGAGCCCATTGCTTTGATAAAACCAGGGAGGAAGGTATGGGCTTTAAACGAGCTGCCCTTCCAGAAGAACCCATGGTTGGTCACCAGTTTGCCTGCCATTACCCACCAGTGCCAGCCTTTCCATGGCACTCCATAGCATAGTCAGTCTCTGTCACCTTACTGCTGGAGACCCTTCAGACGGGAATAAGCCATGCTGAATGCTTACCTCTTTTTTTTCTCCTCAAAGCACTGTTGATACTGTTTTCTTCACTTTTTCACAGCTCTGCTTGGAAGAATGAAGCACAAGCCAGTCAGAGTAAGTAGTAATCCCAGGAATGAGATTGTCTGCTAGGAAATAATGGATTATCTTAGTTTTGTATTTATAAAGTATCTGACATGCATTACATAGGGACCAAGGCAGTGGTCCAAGGAGGACATTTCAACAGATTGATCTGTGTTAACATAAAAAAGTGAATGGTTTCCTGCCCCTCCCAAGCCACCAGCAATCAATCTTTGCAAATTAACATATAAGGCTTAACAGATGTATTTTGTGTTGTTGCACATGCTGCCAAGTACTGGCCCTAACAGACTGTGAACTGGAATCTGTTCCAAAAGCAGGAGCAAGGCAGCCAGTTGTGCACTGCCCCCTGGAGCTCTGCACAAGGAAGCAGCAGGAGCAGGGAGAGAGAGCCTTTCCCCAGACAGAAAAAAAACCAGACAGTAAAGCACAGAGAAGAAATTACTTGAGTGTCTGTAGTCAGTAGGAAGGCTGGCAGTCAACCCCTGGGGAAGACACTAAGCATCTTACAATAGGCAGAATCCAGACAGGCAGCAATTGCCTACTGAGACAGCTCTTTCCTTAGCAGCCAAGTTAGACTGGTCTTTCTTTCCTTGGGTGGGCCCAAGAGGTCTCCAGCTCTGAGCTATTGATGTCAGTATTGCACCTGTTAAATGGTTTCTGCTAGGCTGCATGTAATTAGGATGATATTTGAAATATTTCTAAGGAATGTGAAGATTGCACTTCGTCAGTATGCTTGCTGTACTATAGGATGCTTTGGTTGGGGAACTTGAAATAACATGTTTTATACTGCTAGATTTTATGAGCTTTCCTGAGTGTTTTTGTACCAGTTTGAGAGCAGAGCAATAAGCATGCAGGTGCCAGAGCAACTCACAATGAAACACTAATTGAGTGTAGCAGGCAGCAGGGCAGGGCATAAAGATGTGAAGAAGACATCTTACTGCTCTCATTCTCCCAGCTGCTTTGTGAATTTACCTCTGCTTCTTGCACTGAACTATCACTGCATGTAATGATGGGAAAACCCTTTTTGCCCTTCCACTGTCATGACGAGGTCTTCAGAGACTGGCTTATTCCAGAGTAAAATGATGGGAAACCATGTAGTAGGAACTAAACTTGTACACTTCCCGGGGCCAGAAGTGGAGAGGCCTGTGCATGGTGGTAGTCACAGGTTGCAGGGTCTGGTATCATCATGTGCTGCTGAGCCTAACAGAGCCATTTTTTAATCCCCCAGTCTCCCTGCCTCGGCTGGTGGACATGGACTGGAGGGTGGACATCAAGACATCTTCAGACAGCATCGTAAGAATGGCAGTCCCTACCTGCCTGCTGCAGTTAAAGGTAATGGCAGTGGCTGTGAAGGGCTGAAATAAGAAAGTCCAACACCTGACTTGCCAGGGAAAACCAGTTCAGAGAGCCATCTGGTGTTTGCCTTGTGCCTGGTGGGCCATTAGACTTTCTCAGAGAGGATACCTGAAATGCCACAGAGAATGGGACTGGTGTCTCTGATGAAAGCTCTCTTGCACGGAAGTTTTGTGTGCATGAGGATGTGAGAAGTCACCATGTTTGTTCCTAGTCACCATTGTGTTCCACAGAAAAAAAAGAAGATAAATCATGAAACCATCATCCTTTAATTCTAAGCACTCCATCAACATGTTTAGCTGACTTCATTAGTTGGGAAATGACTTGAGATTAGTGCTAACTTCACTAGCCACATATATCATTTGGGGAGTATACCTAACTTACTGCTTGTGTTCTGCAGAGTTTGGATCCCCCCAACCAATAAAAATCAGATGAATGAGATTCAGAGGAGGAATTTAAATCTAATTTCTGTATATGGGGTGGGGTTAATGTGGTATCTCTGTGGTATCTGCTGAGATGCTTTTGATACAAATGTGGCTTCCTGCCACAACTATCTTCAAAATATCCCAACACTCATGGCAGTAGATGCTCACTTGCACTCTGTCAGTGGGAGTGCACTTTACTAATGAGGCACACAGCTTAGAAAATGTGCCATGGTTCTTCAGGATGGAGCTGGATTGCAAATTCAGACCATTTTGTTTAATCTGTGTATTAAACACTGACTTTTGTAGTGGCTCTGAAAAAATACATAAATGATTTTTTCGTACAACTAACAGCTGCATTCCTATTTTAAGATTCAGGAAGATGCTGCCTTATGTGGAAATAATCCTGTTGTTTCTGCACTGACTGTGGAACTGAGCAAAGAAACCCTGGACACTATGTTAGAAGGTCTGGGAAGGATTCGGGACCAACTTTCTGCTGTTGCAAACAAATGAGTGCTCAAGGGCATGGATTCCAGCAGCAAGGAAGGGAAGTATTCTCTACCTACAGCTGTCAGAAGTTGCAGCCTAGTGTAACACGTTGTCTATTTCAGCAAAACAAAACTAAAGAGATTTCTTTCTTGAATTAATGAGATAGCTTTTGAAAGGCTAACACTCAAATACTCATTTGGATGGAGGCCAAAAAATGGTTTTCTATTATGTTGTTGAACAAAAGCTGTTCACCGTTTCAGAAGAGGATTTGAGGGCTCAGAGCCTGGCTTAATCACAAGGGTCATAACTGGAAACAGCAAATAGCTGCAGCCAATGAAGCAAGTTCTATCTCTGTCCTGAAATGAGAATCTGAAAGGCTCAAGCTGGGTAATGGGCTGCCTTCCAACAAAGGGAGGGTGCTTCTCTCTGGGATGTGCATGTACTGAGGTGCCTGCTGGATGTAGCACTCTCTCCCTCTCAGTGAAGCACAGCCGTGCTGCAGATTGTTATTACAGGATGATGCACTGAAATAGGGCAGTTATGTTACAACACATTCCATTCTGATCAGCTTCACAGCACCATTTGCAAAGTGACTGTTCTGAACATCTTTAGCAGGAACTAATTTCCTCCTTCTGTTTGTAAAGAAAAAAAGGAGATCAGGTAATTCATGTTTGGGGCTTATTGGACTCTGGGTTTCGTCTTTGCTGCACAAAAACCAAACTGGGAGAATAAAGAATTGAAGACTGTTTGCTGTAGGAAACCCCTCTGTGGCAATATGTGCCTATACTTCTTGAAAGTGTTCTGTTCTTTGTGTAAATTTTCATTTAATTAAAGAATGAACTGCTAATTGATTTTGTGAATCCTTTTTCAGTCTGGAAGAGATGTCCTGGGTTACCTCAGCCTCTTTGTGATGGTGCAGAGTTTCTAGGCTGATTTAATGGATGTTTGTGTTTGTTGCTGAAGAAGGAGCTTTTGTTTCCTATTTAAATTGATTCATGTTTGAAACTTCCTTCTCTTCATTGTAATAAAGTTTCAGGGCACCTCTTTCCGTGGGCATCACCTCTGTACAATATTACAGGTTTACCCTGACCTAGAAGTTTATAAATATGTGTGCATTGTGAGTGTGGAGGAGTTAAATGCAGAAAATCAACAAAATTCAATTTCTTCTTTCCAATGAGCTTCTATGGAAGTCTGTATCCAGATGTGTTTATGACAAAATCCAGTCTTTCCTGCAACACTGGGCTCTCCTTCAAGACACAAAACATTGTTTGTTGTGTTTGGAAACACAAAGTCATTCAAGTGTGCATAAACTACAAGAATTTTGTTAGTTAATTCTGCACATCCCCCCAAAGCGCGGGCTAGAGTGAAAGTGTAAGTGAAGGCTGTGCCTTTAGAATATAATGGTGAAATGCAGCTCATGCATCAAGATGAACTGTGTGGCAAGTCCCTGGTTAATGTTATAATGCTTAGTATGGTATCAAGGCAAACTGGTACATTTCATGTATAATAGGGACACCTCAATGGAGGAGATGGATATTTAAGAGTATGTTCTGTAAGAGTCAAGCTGTGAAAAACATCTCTGACAGTACTTCAGTTTGAGGAAATTTTGTTGCCTTTGCAGCCTAGCCTTAAAAAACATAAATATGTTTTATATGCTAAGAATCACTGAAGAGGTAAACAATTCAGGATGAAGTACTGTAGTGATAGGGGAGCTGAGGAAGTCAAAACACAGAGGAAAACCTTGAGGTAAATACTGAAGTTATAGTCAAAACGTAGGGTCCAATGCAATGAAGAACTGATGGTTGTTCTCACGTAAAACAATTATACAACTATAGAATAGTTGTAAAGAAAAGGAAGATTTAAAACTGAAAAGGTTTTCTGGTGGCGGAGTGGAGCTTTCTGCAGGTAGCTAAAAGTTGCTTGGGGAGTCTTAACAAAAACGAGTGTGCCCACTGGACCAGAGACATACCAAACATCTGGTGCAAGAAAATACTGGTATTTTCTAGACCAGTATTTAGGATGCTGTGAGAGCTTGCCTTCAAATCTTTGCCTAAATTGTTAGGTATTTTATTGTGGACTCTTATCTCCTTAGCCAGAAGAGCTGAGACTGCTCAGAAAAAGGTACATAAAACAAAGGAGGCTGAGTAGGACTGTCATTACCCAGACAGCAGGAGAACTTCACATTAAAGTCCTTTTTATGGAGACTGCTACACAGAAAAAATAAATTGCTTGCTACTGCAGGCAACCATATGTGATCTTTTTCATAAAATTATTGCTCTCTTAAAATGAGTTAGATTTTCATCCTCCCTCCACATATTGCTGCTATTTGGTAGAGCTAGCCTAAGAGATGATGAATTCATCTCTTCTCCGTTACCAGATTGTTACTGTGCCAACACTGTCCTCTTTTGCTTACTTCTTTCTTGTCTTTCCATTTTTCTGTCCTACTTAAGCAGTAAAATCCCTCCACTTCTGATGACTAAGCCTTGTAAGCTCTATATTCTGTGCCTTTCAGAATTGCAGTGGTCATTCTTCACTTAACAGTTTGCATCTCCCTTGAATGGGGTCATCACCACAAGTGTTTCTGGAGGATTGTCCAAGGACATTACTAAAGAATAAACTGTCAAAGTATGTGAATCACCTGAATGAACTCCTGCCAGGAAACCATAAACCTTCATTGTGAAGTGGAGCTTAAAAGCGCCATCCTCAAACACATTCTAGTGTTTGAGAAACAGAAAATTCGTTTTCTACATGTACACTTGGTAATGGTGCTAATTCAGTTACAGTAACCAAAACAGTGATAAATTTATTTGTAAAACACAGTATGCAAGTGAAATTCAAATTGTAATTTCACAATCAGACATTGTGTTGAATCTGACTGTGTCAAAGTGTTGCAAAAAGCATTACAAACTTTAAAGCCTACTTTGTATTATTCAGAACAATACAAACAATGCTAACTTCTATTGCAAGAAAATGTGCACTTTATGGTGATCAGACTAAAAATTGTGTAGATGTGATTGAGAGCAAGAAAAGCTTAGAAAGAAAATACCTTTAAGGTTCTTAGCTGCTTCTTCAATTACTGATCTTCAAACACTGGTTTAAAAGACTAGAAGACTTTCTAAGACTCATGATGGTTTGGTAAAGATCTAATAATTACTCTATATTTAAGTTTTGAGTTTAATACATGAAATTTATATATTCAAGCTCTTCTGAAACTAATATGTATACAAAGTTTTTGCTTTGTTTATAACTGAGGTCTTACTGTTTCATATCAAACAAGTTATTTTGTTACTAGTAATCTGGTTTAGAATTGTTTTTGACCTAAATTTAAAATGTTAGTTTCTAATTTTTTGCTGTTTAATTTTCACTGGATATAATAAAGTTTCTTTAACAATATAGATGGGGCCACCTGCCCAGATCAGGATTGAAGAAGGCGTTTTGGGATCAAGAGACCAGTCTGGGATAGTTCTCTTGTTAAATGAACATCTTAAAAACCACAACAGTCCAGCTTAATCTCAGTTTTTGGTACTAGGAACAACATAGCTAGTGGTGCAATTTTGTCAGGTGCTTTATAACTATGGTTATTCTGAGTCATAATAACTCCTACAAAAGTAGCAGTTTAATACATTTGCCACTCTTTTTTATATACCCTTAAAAGATTAATCTCACTATGCTGTAGAGTGGCTAGAGTGGCAGCATGAGGAGCTGAGGAATGCCACCTCCCCAGACCCTTTTCTAACGTTTTGACCCTGTAGTCAGAAACTTTAGTCCATGACACAGTAATTACACAAACTGTCATGTATTTTTCTCCCCGTCTACACTAATGTTGTGCAAGTAGTTGCTGATTTTTTGCTCTGGTTTTAATGTAAGAGATTAATAATGCTTGTGACACTTGGGCGTGCCTTACTAACTGACTTCTCCAAGGTAGAACTTGGTTAACATTATGTAATTTAGTCTCCAATATCACTGCATCAACATAGCCCTGTGTCATTACAATGCAAGACCTTGGCTTACCCACCATCAAATATGTGTTCATCCTGCCCAGCGTTTCCATCTGCTCTCATGACTCACATTCATCTGGCCCCTGCTTGAAGGCAACTGCACTACCATCACCAGTGAATTAAACCTCACAAACTACAGCAGGGACACATTTATAGCAAGGCTGATGACAATGTGCTAAAGGTCTTGAGTTTTTCAGTTATATTCAAAAAATCATAGGCATCCATTAGAAGCCTCACTGTAAGGATCAGTGGCCAAACACGCCTTGCCCTTTTAAGCACATAAGAACCAGATTGTTGCTGCTTGATGCTTTATAAATCTCTTTTCTGGACTTGTAAGTGCCTATGAGTCGTGCCACTGACAATGCTGCTGCTGAAGTACCCACCGAAATATGTAACAAAAATACCAACACAGCACACCCACCCTGTGACAATTCACTGGTGTATTTTACTGAGTATCACAGGAAGAGGGACCACAACAGGGTCAGAGCTGGCACTGCAAGTTCACAAGCTTCCTAAGCTTTCTGTAACATTGGCCTTTAGGAAAGAAAGAATCATGGAATATCCCAAGTTGGAAGTGACCCACAAGGGTCATGGAGTCCAACTTCTGACCCTGCACAGGACAGCTCCAACAATCCCACTATGTGCTTGACAGCATTGTCCAAACACTCCTTCAACTCTGTCAGGCTGATGCTGTGACCAGTTCCCTGGGGAGCCTGTTCAGTGCCCAACAACCCTCTGGGGAAAGAACCTTTTCTGAATAACCAGGTTAAACTTAACAGAGAACAAGGAAATGAGCCTAGATTTACAGTCCTCCTTGTTCACTAAACACTCAAGCCTAAATGACACTGAGAGAATTTGATCAATTAACCACTCTAGCTGAGTATTTCCAGCCTTCTAAACTGGTACTGCTGGCCCGGCTCGGCTCGGCACAGCACCTGACCATCTCCCGCCGACACGCTGGGAAGGTGTGAATGAAAGAGTGAGAACCAAAGGATGCCGCAACAAAGAAACACTCCTGAAAGCGCAAATACTTTTTCTCCAGGAGATGGCGAGCTCGGTCTCCCATTTCTCTTCCCTCCTCAGTTTCTCGGCAGGACACAGCAGTCTGGGCTGTTCTCAGAATTCTGGGAGCAAATCAATGCCTGCCAGAGTCTAAACAGCACCAAACCAGAAGGGGGATATTATTCACTGCTCAGCAAAAGGTCTCCCAACTGCTCCCACAATTGTGGGTTGAGGCAGCTGAGCACATTTTAGGGGAAGCTGGCAGAGATGGAAGCAGCAGATGGTTCTCTGGACTGTGCCAGTCATTTTAAACACCAAGAAGGAGGAACTCTCCCTTCTTTTTCCCAGGCTGGATGCACAGTCCTCCAGGGAAAGCTTAGGCACTTAGGGTAAGAACAATATTGCATTTAAAGGGATGAGGACAACTTTGAATGCTTCCAAACTGGCCTCTCTCAGACAATGTGAGTTTTGCATAGATTTGTCTTTAAATAGTGGTGAGCAGGAAACTGTAAAAATCATGTCTGGAGAAGGAAGTAAGATGGGGGGGAGGGAGAGTTCCTTCTTTCCCAAGCATGTTAGAAAACAATTTAGTGCAAGAAGCACAATGGCATCTTGTGCAATGTATAGAAATTCTCTTGTTGCTTCTCTCCACTCACTTTTGCTGCTGCTGTTAATACAAGGCCTGGGATGAAAGCATTCCTTCTGCTCGCTGACCTTTCTGCACCCCCTCCTCCCAGGCATCATCTTGCCACTCTGGGAGGGGAAGTGCTAATGCACACTAGCAACACTGACACACCACACAGTGCTGTCAAATATGCAAAGTAAACACACAGAACAGAGGCAGTGAAATAGTACCCTGCTTTCATCCTTCCTCTCTTCTAGTCACTGTTCTTGTAAAGGCTGCTTTGGAACAATAGTAGGTACGGCTTTTTTTCCCCCCCTCTAAGGAAGACACAATTTGTCATGTTGACAGCATTCCTTTATGCTGATGAGATAGTGAGGGTTGAGTGCCAACTAGCAGCCGAAATATAATAGCATCCATCAGAGCTGTTAGCTAGAGTTGGCCAGTGCTTTTGTTTGTAATTTAGAGGGCTATAACTCAGCCTTGTAAATAAGATGCAGGAGGAAGTCTACAGTGAAAATCTGAACCTTGCAGTGGGCCCTTTAGTTTCTTAGGGGAAAAAAAAAATCAGGTTTGCTTTGACATTCTGCACTGTGCTGAAAAGAAGTGATAAGAAACCTGGATGAGACGACTGCAGCGTACCAATGCTTTGCACTGACAGGGTAACTGGAAATGCTGATTTCTTTATGACTGCATCAGTGAGTGTAGGTCCAGGGTGTTCAAACACACTTTCTGTATCAGTAAGTCTTGAGGTAAATGGTACCTTCACTTCCAAACAAATCACCGTACAGGTCAGCAAGGCTCTCCAGGTTGTATCTCTACTCCACACAGTGGCAGGGCTCAACTCACATAAAGCCGACTGCAGACTCATGACCAAGATCAGAAAATTACCCAGGGTCTGAAGTATTCTGGTTCCTTAGTGCATGCTGGCATTTAGGTACTGGGGCCTCATTCCCAAGCCTGTTTCTGCATTTATCTTATTTTCATGCCTACACAGAGACATGACCCCTACTTTTGAATGTTTTTTGTTTTTTTTTCAATCCACTAGTGTCAGCCAGTATTATTCTATGCTCTATTAAGCCAGGATGGTAGCAAGTCTAGAAAGTTTGAGCTGGATCTCAACAGACGACTGACAGACTTTTGTGTCTGATGGCAAATAAATAATCACAAGATCGGAGTGAAATCAAAGAAACACAAAGCATGTCGTTAGTGCACTGCATAACTGAAAGTTAAGAGAATTGCATTTAGAAACTAGTGTTTTTCCTCTCTGAAAAGAACAGCATGAAAGTGTATTTGGCCATCTGTGTCTCAGGATGTTTTCCTTTTCTTGGGCACAGATGGTAAACTTCAAACATCACTATCACTCCCATCTACCATATAAGCCCTGTAAGCAATCTTATTTACAATTTCTAGCCATTGCTTTCCAGTGACCTCATTTCTCCCTTTGGTGCTGTCTTGGAAGTTCTGGCTAATATTAAAGGCACTGAAATAGACACTTTCAACACTCCCTTGTGGGTGTGGTAACATAGTTTTCAATGAAGCAAAGACCCTTTAAACAAAATGAAAGCTGGCCACATTTTCCCCTTAGCCTTAGGCAAGTAAAAAATAAAACCCCTTTCCTATGCTTTCAAAGCAATAAAACAAAACAGCTAAGCAAGAAATCTAATCAAGGTGAACCTTCATTCCACCTTGTGGTTTGCAGAGCACCTCTCCAGACTGCACACTCTCTGAGGCAGAGACATGGTCTTCATAGCCCCATACAGGAGACTGACTCTGCCACTGGTACTCCATCAGTAACAGCAAGGATTCTGTCTCCTGGTATTAATGCACCACCAAAATACTGTAGCTATTTCAGGATCAGATTTCCAGTTGCCTGACACAGCAGCAGGCTTATCTTTTCCTAGATAAGTAAGGCTGATCTATGCAGTTCAATGGGTGGATTGTGTCACCACTGGCAGCTCACAGAGAAATGGTCCAATTTTCAGATGTGGAATATTTACTTTGGAACTTCAGATACTTCTGATGTATTTCTGATAACCCTCCCTCTAAGCCCATCTCATCTGCAGTGTCAGAAGGGATCTCAGTACAATTTCCCCCAAGGGAAGCAATCGTCGTGGTATTTTTGGTTAAAATTTCTTCTTCCTCTACAATTCCATTTCCTTATATCATTCTGTACCATACACACTGTCATTCTCTACTCCAGAGTGGATTACACTCTGGCAGTAAAAGAACAGCATCCTATTTCAAAAATTCAGTAATAAATGAAAAGCACCAAAATTAAAAAAT